CTCATTTGTACTTTATGTCTTTGCTCGCACAACTCATGGATCAACACAATTTGGAAAACCCAGTTTGAGTACCCCTAATCCTCTGTGTCCAAATATTCCAACAGCTCAAAGTAGCTGCCAGATTTTCTAGGCAGGCATGCAGTATTCCAGACTTTTGATGTTGGTTCCCTTTGTGAAGCACATATCGTGTGTTGATTAACTTGAGCTGGTTGGGATTTGTAGACTCGAAAACAATTGTTAGCCATAGCCAACATACCCCAGAAGCTGAATAAACTCTGCCAATGATGTCCTTAATCCACTTCCATCGTTTGCAGTTCTTTCGTATTTTGTACACTAGTATTTGTGATAACAACAGACAGTATTCTACCTTCTCAATTTCAGGTGCCAGTCTTCTTGTGTATCAACTATTTATGTACCCATCCATCATTAAAGTTCTTGGACCTATCAAATCTTCTCAGATCGCAGCTGTGCGTGAAAGCTGCTATCCTATTGTTTAATTGCTGAAGTTATTCCGTTCTGTCTGCATGTCTGAACTATTGTGATTGACCTTGCAGGTTCTGTGCATACCTATTCTCTTTGCCTACCCCTATATGACGTACCTGTCAGGACCTGGATTATCGATCGTACTGAATATTGCATCAGTCATAAAAAATAATCTTGGTGTGAGTATTTTTTTTAGTTCCATTTTAGAATCCTTGTTACCTAAAGTTTGAAGATTGACCTAGTACATAAATCATGGATGACAACTATGTTACTTTCTAAAATCAGCAGTAGTGTTTTGCCACCACTTAGGAGTTATAGTTTTCTATTTTAATGTTTTATCAGGTTACCATCATCACAGGCACTTTCATCCTTCAAAACAATGCAGTGGTATGTAACCCATAAGTCCATCTCAATGTTAATGTGTTCTATAATAGATCTCGAGTGACTGATGAGCATGTAACGTACTAACAGCCTCAGAACCAAAGAGGAGCAGCAAATGGATTAGCCATGACTGGAATGTCCTTTTTCAAGGCAGTTGCCCCTGCAGGTGCTGGCATTGTGTAAGTATATATACTCCGCTCCTCATAGCTTCTGCAAAAATATTTCATGCGTTACAAGTAAAAACAACTTTAATAGCTCGCACAGCTACTTTGGCAACCACAGTCCATCTAAATGAAATGCTCTTGAAGCTCAGAAGTTGACACGATTTTTCACAAATGCAGGTTCTCGTGGGCGCAGAAACGCCAGCATGCTTTCTTCTTTCCAGGTAAACTTTGTTATCCTTTTCTAAGGAAACTCCTTATTTGATGTCCCAGTTCAGCTAGCTGAGACGTGTTGTGAGTTTCTTGCTGCTGTATAATTGGTCTCCACATTCCACTGATGCAGGTGATCAGATGGTGTTCTTTCTGCTGAACATCATCGAGCTCCTTGGACTTGTCCTCACATTCAGACCCTTCCTGGCCGTGCCAGAGCAGTATGAAAGAAACTAGCCTTTATTATTATAGAATTTTTTTGGATTATTAATGAGACGATGACGAATCATGCGGCCCGGCAGCCGCGAGGAGAAGGGCTCAAGGGCGCCCTTGCACCAGGATAAGAGTTGGTTACCTGTGCTTGTGTGTAACATATAGTATGTTGTAGCAGCATCTCAGAGTGGAGGTGGTGCATATATATATATATATATATATATATATATATATATATATATATATACACATGTTGTCTGGTATATAGATGGTGGTGGCCAGTCAAGTTGGTTGTTTGCCATTAGTTAGGAAGCAGCAACATTTGTAAAACCAGTGTACAATGCAAGACACTGTACTGGCTGGGAAGAAATAATCTGGTGGAAATTGATGGCATTGGCATAGTCAGTTGTCCAGTTTGTCCTCAGATAAGATGCTTTGGTTTCTTTGGTCCATCGCGGGTCGGAGTGAAACTTGTGCCACCTTTATGTCCACGGGGTTGGCCATTGATATGTACGAAGTTAAGTTTACTGAGCTTACGCACATATTGGCTGCTAGCTACCTGATGATGGTGAATGAAACAAAACGCAGGCACGTCAGCTAAGCTAGCAGGGTTGGCACTGCATGCATACGCAGCAGCAGGCGATGAAACTCTAGTCTAGACTAATCCATTAAGCATGCATGGTAAGCTTCTTTTTTTTGCGAGATGCATGCATGGTAAGCTAGCTAGCTACTCTTGCCGGCAGCCGGCCGGTCGGCCAACGACACACGGATACTATTATGTGCGCATGTATCCATCGAAGATGGTAGTGGATTACGATGGTTGAAAAGGATTGAGTATATATTGATCGGAGATCGTAGATACGGAGTACATAGTTTGGGGTGGCAATGTTCACGCTGCCTGTCCGGAGTATGAGAAAACAAAACACATGCATGCAATGCAACGGCGCCTCAAATCAAACTACTAGTTTGATTTGACCTCTGTCTGTTTCTGACCCTATGCATCAGCGCTGACGTACCTCAATGGTTGGTCACGACGGCACGCACGTTTAGCCGCCCATCTGTCCTAGCGAGCTCCTATTCTCGGAAAAAGAAAAGAACAAACACTGGCTTAAATCTGGTCCATGTGATTAGTGCCAGCTCCACATACGTACGTACGTACGTCAATTAACTAATCGCGGCCTAGGTGTCCAAAAAAGAACTAATTGCGACCTATACGTACGTAGGTGATGCATGCACTTTGTCGTCGGGCTTGGTACGTACGTGTATGCTACCAGTACCAGAAGAGCGTAAACCAATCTACTTTTGGCCAGATGGACCGCTAATTGTCATGCTAAATGAGGACGTGGAGGGTGTTCAACCAAGGCAGTTAACGAGATCTGACCATATATATATAGAACTGGCCTCCGTCCAATCAAAGAGATTAATCATAACTAAAGTTGAGGTTTGCTAATCAGAGCTGCGAACCAAACTATATCCATCACTCACAACTCGGGGTTGCGTCAAAGTTTTCCTATTTTCCTCTCGTCCCTGGCGGCGGCTAGTCGCCAGGGGAGGCCGATCTTCCAATGCCGCTCTTCGGCGGCTTCCCTTCGCCGGCGACCTCGGTTGTCGATGGTGAAAGGGGTCGTCGAATTCACGCATGTGGATCGCTTTTACTTTTGCAGTCTAGATTTTTAGATTGTTCATCGTCTTTGCTTCGGCGGCGACGATGATAATGTTGAATAAAGATTCTGAATTTAAAAAACAGTCTGTTCAAGTAAGGATGGCGTGGCGGCGGCAGCATCCTCGTGGTGGACATGTGTCCTCGGGCTCCGCTGTTGTGACGGCGTTTGCTCCAGCGTCGGCGCGGAGCTTGGGAGGTAGTTCAGGAGCGGATGCAGATTGTGGGCTGCATCGACGACATCTGGAAGACGGAGCATGTGATGGGCTCGTGGTTCGTCGATGGCAGATATGGTGTCCTTCTTCGACGTTTTAGTCGTGGTGGGATGCCAGATCTGAAGTTCGATGGCGTGTCCGGAGTGTTGCCTCGGTCTGATTCGTTCAACGGTAAGGGCTTCACTTTTGATGAGCCACCTTAGAGGTCCGTAAAGCTGCATATCAGTGATGAAGCCGCGTCGAGCTCGGGTGAGGAGGTGATTCGTCATTCTTTTCTTCGATGGCTGTTGTGGTGCCGGAGGCAGGTGACGGGCGTTGGTGTCAAGCTTAGAGATGTTCTGATATCTTTTTAGTTTTGTCATGTCGGTGTTTACGTGACTTGTACTTTGTTCTTTATGATATGAATAAGACACGTGTTACAATGTAAAAAAAATGAGCTGCGAACCAAACAAGCTCCTTATACATGAAAAAAAAACTAGCTGGCTCGTAACGTGCAGGTGCAGCCAGGAAAGAGGAAAGGAATCGCCCGCAGGAGGAAACGGATATACTCCTACCTCCAGCTCCAGCCAAACAACACGCCTCCTACATGCAACTTTTTTCGTCGGTCCTACCGGGTATACATAGAGAATTGTTATTACGCAAAAAAAAAAACCGAAAAAAACATAGAGAATTGTTACTTTCAAGGTGTTCGTAGGCTAACCTGGTTACCGAAAAAGGATTTCGCTCTGCTTTATAAATAAAGCAAACTGCTAGAGCACACATACATGAACTAGTTCAGCATACACACATCCAAGTCAAACAACAAGAAGTACAAAGGTTCTGCTGAGGGCCAGCTCAACAAGCCCAAGAAACAATAAAGAAAAAGAGGCCGTAGCCGAAGAGCAAGCCAGGCGTCTAATCTGGCTCCGGGGGCGGCGGAGGAGGCGGCGGCGATAGGCGGACTGCCATCGAGCGCAGGTCGGCGATGAAGGCGGAGATGGCGTCCCGGTCCTGAGGGCGGCTAAGCGGCCACCAGAGCTGCAAGTAACCAGACAATTTGAAGAGAGCGTCAGTGGCCCGGCGAAGAGGGGTGCGCTGAATCACGAGCTTATTGCGGATCGTCCACAGGGTCCACACGAGGGCCTCGATCTCAAGCCACCTAATGTGACGAGAGGGCGGGGGGAGGGGGGGAGGTCAGGAACTCGGCGTAGAGGTCGGGAAAGTTGGTGTGGCACCAAACACCTCTCTCGAAAACAGCTCCACACAAATTGGGCAGACATGCAGGAAAAGAAGATGTGATTCGAGTCTTCTGGGGTGCCACACAGCAGGCAGATGCCGGAGCCCGGGCAGCATTTCGTTTGCGTACCTCCACCCCAGATGGAAGCCGTCCGTGAATCCATTGCCACATGAATATCCGGATTTTCAGTGGTAGGCGGATGGACCACACTGCCGCAAGGGGCGGAGGGGCGGAGGAGGGGGCAATGGCCCGGTAGAGGGACTTGGTGGAGAATTGACCCGAAGGCGCAAGACGCCACCGCATCTCATCCGGGCCAGCGTCCACTATCGGCTCGTGGAGAGCTACGCAATCAAGCAGCTCCTGCCAAGCGGCGGCTTCCGGAGGCCCAAATGGCCTTCGGAAAGCAAGGCGCCCTAGGTCAATAAGGGCCCTCTCAACTGAGATCAGGGGGACGACGACGATGGAGAAGAGGTCGGGGAAGCAAGTCGCGAAGGAGGAGTCTCCCGCCCAACGGTCAAACCAGAACAACGTCGCGGCACCCAATCCGACACCGATGGAGCTTCCAATGCGGAGGACGGGGAGCAGTTAGACGACCGACTGCCAAAACTGGGAGCCCCCGGACCGTTGACAGAAGGCCAGGGGTTGTCCGCACAGATACTTGTTCCGGATGATGTCTAACCAGAGGCCACCGTGCCCTTGCGAAATACGCCAGAGCCAACGGGAGAGGAGGGCAATATTCATGCGTTTAGAGCACATGATATCGAGGCCTCCTTGATCACGGGGCTTGCAGATGTCTGGCCAGCTAACCATATGGTACTTCTGTTTATTGTTATCGCCATCCCAATAGAAGCGAGATTGAACTTTGGCGATCTCGTGGTGAAGAGTCTCATGAAGGCTATAGAAGCTCATTAAGAACAAGAGGCTGGAAAAGGAGGAGTTGATGAGAATCGTCCGGGCCGCCTTCAACAGCCACCTACCCTGCCAAGGTTCGATGCGCGTTTGTAGCTTAGCCACCGTAGGGCACAAGTCCGCAACGGTAAGACGAGAGTCACTAATAGGCGTCCCCAAGTAAGTCGTGGGGAAGGAGCCCAGGCGGCAGTTGAGGCGATTGGCAATGTCGAGGGCCTCTGTCGGGGAGTAACCCGTTACCATCACATCACTCTTGTCGAAGTTGATCTTGAGGCCAGACATTTGTTGGAAGCAGAGGAGGAAGAACTTCAGGTTAGCGATGTCTGCATCCAAGCCTTCAACTATGATGATGATGTCGTCGGCGTATTGGAGCATGAAAATCCCGAAGCCACCGGCCAGATGAGGGGTGATCCCATGAAAAAAACCTGATCAGATCAACAATCCACAAACTACAACGGTAACCATATCCGCACCAACAATCTCATGACATCACATGAATGATGAGGGTCTTCATACTACTACATACTCTCTCCGTTTCATAATGTAAGACTAGTGTCTTAGAATATTGCAAGTGCATTTTTTGTTATGTTACTTTATTGACCACTCGATCCATCGTGTCAGCCTAGCAAGACTGACAGGCAGCGCGCTGAGAACAAATCTCATCTCACCCAAAAGCAGCAAGCTTTATGCTGCCCATGGCGACATAGACGCACTGCTATCTAGCTGCACTTGCACCGCATCGCATTGCACTGCATGCACGGCTTCGGCTTGGCTACCTATATAACATCATCACAACATACATATCTAGTGTCTTGTACTCTGAAGGTACTGGCGGTGCAGTCAGTCAATCAATTAAGTTAATTTATTAGCACTAGCGTGGCAGCAATGGGCGACACTACCAGGAACCGGACATTCCCGCATGGTAACGACAATGACGACGCGACGGCGCCGCCCTCACCCTCGCCGCCAGAAACGGTGTACTACGAGGGGTGCCCCGGGTGCGCCATGGAGCGTAAGAAGGAGA